GTGAGCCACCACACCCGGCTTCTTTTCTTTTTTTGAGGAGTCTCACTCTGTCACCAGGCTGGAGTGCAGTGGTGTGATCTTGGCTCACTGCAACTTCTGACTCCTGGGTTCAAGCAATTCCCCTGCCTTGGCCTCCCGAGTAGCTGGGTCTACAGGTGTGCACCACCATGCCCAGCTAATTTTTATATTTTTAGTAGAGATGGGGTTTCACCACGTTGGTCAGGATGGTCTCAATCTCTTGACCTCGTGATCTGCGCGCCTCGGCCTCCCAAAGTGCTGGGATTACAGGTGTGAGCCACTGCCCCTGGCCACAAGAGATTTTTTAAAGGGTATGTGGTGAAGTTAGTCTCTGCCCTTTCCTGTCCCCAGGGCCCTTCTGGAGGGGCAACAACAGTTGCTAGGGGCTTTTGTGCATTTAAATGGATTTAGAAGGATTCTGTGCATTTAAAACACTTTACCTCCAAACTATGACTTACACATAAGGGGAAACTGAGGTCCTCAGAGACGTTAAGTACCTGGACCAAAGCCACACAGCTATAAGTTAGCAGAGCTGGGATTTAGAACCAGATCTCACTTTTCACCACCAATGCTCCAACAGAAGTAAGCTGGGGCACTGACAGAGCCCCTCCCAAACCGCGGAGCCCGTTCTGAACCGTGGCCACTCCATTCTGAGGCCCTGGAGAACTAGGGTTCCACCTTCCTCTCTGTCGAGTGGCCTGTACCTTCTCCCCGTGGCTCCAGGCTCCTGTACTGACCTATCCACCTATGGAAAGACTCATCCCCATATGTAAAGACTTATCCCCATATGGAAAAAGGGATGTCCCCAGAAGTGCCCTTTCTTAGCAAATGGTGGTCACCCAGGGTCAGCCTGACTCCTGGGATGTAGGAGGGAAGTCACAGTAACGGGTCTCTGGTTTCTGGCCAGAGGGGATTGTGGTTGTGGCTTCAATGATGTTCGCAGAAAATGGCCTCATGATCTCTGGGGCAGGAGTGAGGGAGGATGTGAAGTAGGGGAGCTGCCCCACTGAGAGCCATGTGTTCACCCATGAGAGAGGGGAGGAGGCTGCAGGCAGTCCTGGCTGGGAGCAGGGGCACACGTGGACAAGGGTTGTGGACCAGACTTCCAGGCTCTTCCCCCAAAGCCTCTCTCCTGGGTCAGGCCAGTGCTCAAAGGGATGAGACCCTCCAGTGGACATCGCTGCATCTCCAAGTACCTCCTTGGGTCATTCTCTCCGGGTTGGACTGTGGGGTCTTTCAGAATCCTAGCTTCCTGTTCCATTTCTTTCTTTCTGTCATGGCTTAATCTGGTGTCCCCTCAATTTAGGGGAATATGTCCCTGAGGCCTAGAAGAAGAGGATCTCACCCCATCAGAACTGTCAAGCAGAGAAGCAGGTGTCAGACCTTCTTCCCATCCCAGGATGACAACATTCTGTTATGCTGCAGAAGTCACCCAGAACATTCTGTCCTTGGCGTCTGTGTACACACTGAGCCAGGCCTAGCTTGGTGCCTGATGACCATCAGTCAGAGATGAGCCTAGAGATGCAAGAATCAAGAGGCATTCCCCCCACCCTTCAGGACATTTAAACTAGCACCCTGCAGCTGCCACACACCAGCTGGCTTGAGCCCTGGTCCTTGGCCAGTCTTGGGAAGAGGGGTATTCATCTTAGCTGCTGCTAAATACCACAGTAATAGCTAACCGCTATATAGTGCTTTACAGTAAAGCACTTTACATATAGTAAACACTTATTTCTCACAGCCATCTGAGGCAGGTAGTATCTCTATCACCACATTACAAACGAGGAGATAGAGGAAAACATGCACGAAGGTTATCTGGCTCAAGGAATTGAGAGTCTTGTTTGAGAACCTGTATTTTTTTTTTTTTTTTTTTTTTTTGAGAGAGGGTCTCACTCTGTCACCCAGGCACAATCACAGCTCACTACAGCCTGAGGCTGGGTACAGTGGCTCACAACTGTAATTCCAGCACTTTAGGAGGCTGAGCGGGGAGGGAGGATTGCTTGAGCCATGAGTTCTAGAACAGCCCAGGCAATATAGTGAGACCCTGTCTTTACAAATTATTATTATTATTTATATTTATTTATTTATTTTGAGATGGAGTCTTGCTCTGTCACCAGGCTGGAGTACAGTGGCGAGATCTCAGCTGACTGCAACCTCGGTCTCCCAGGTTCAGGCAATTCTCCTGCCTCAGCCTCCCTAGAAGCTGGGACTACAGTTGTGTGCCATCACACCCAGCTAATTTTTGTAATTTTAGTAGAGATGGGGTTTCACCATGTTGGCCAGGTTGGTCTCGATCTCTTGACCTCACGATGTGCCCACCTCGGCCTCCCAAAGTGCTGGGATTACAGGTATGAGCCACCACATCCAGCCTACAAATTATTTTTAAAAATTATCAGGGAGTGGTGGTGTACATCTGTGGTCCCAGCTACTCAGGAGGCTGAGGCAGGAGGATTGCTTGAGCCCAGGAGGTTGCCTTGAGCTGTGATTGTGCCACCGCACCATGAGACCTTTTTTTGTGAGACCACACATTTTTGTGTGAGAGTCTGTCTCAAAAAAAAAAAAAAAAAATCATCAGACCCTTGACCTCCTGGGCTCAAGTGATCCTTCCACCTTAGCCTCTTCAGTAGCTGGGACCACAGATGTGCGTCACCACACTGGGTTGGACCCTGTACTCTTTTTTTTTTTTTTTTTTTTTGAGACAGAGTTTCACTCTTGTTACCCAGGCTGGAGTGCAATGGCGCGATCTCGGCTCACCGCAACCTCCGCCTCCTGGGTTCAGGCAATTCTCCTGCCTCAGCCTCCTGAGTAGCTGGGATTACAGGCACGCGCCACCATGCCCAGCTAATTTTTTGTATTTTTAGTAGAGACGGGGTTTCACCATGTTGACCAGGATGGTCTCGATCTCTTGACCTGGTGATCCACCCGCCTCGGCCTCCCAAAGTGCTGGGATTACAGGCTTGAGCCACTGCGCCCGGCCCCCTGTACTCTTAATGACTGCATAAACCTTGTAGCCTCCATGTCCATTCCTAAAGCACAGGAGTTGTTCCAAAAGTACTTATTGAGTATCTGTTCAGGCTTGAGCACGAGTGGGGGGATTTAAAGTGAATGGGATATTATGTCTGCCGTTGGGGATAGAGACACATGCAAGCATGAAATTGTCCCTCAACACAAGAAGTGCTGTTGTATTAGAGGCATGAACAACGTGGTGGGAAACAAGGAGGGAGGTCATACTGCCTGGAGCAAGTGTCACCGAAGGGCAGGCATCAAGAAGGCAGAAGGACCTTCCAGACAGAGGGAACAGCATGTGTGCAGGGATGAAAGCTGACAAGAAAGAGAAACATGGGCCAGGTGCAGTGGCTCACGCCTGTAATCCCAGCACTTTGGGAGGCTGAGGTGGGTGGGTCACGAGGTCAGGAGTTCGAGACCATCCTGGCCAACATGGTGAAACCCCATCTCTACTAAAAATATACAAAAATTAGCCAGATGTGGTGGCTCGAACCTGTAATCCCAGCTACTCAGGAGACTGAGGCAGGAGAATCACTTGAACCCAGGAGGTGGAGGTTGCAGTGAGCTGCAACCTCACTCAATGGAGATCTCCTCAATGGAGATCACGCCATTGAGCTCCAGGCTGGGCAATCAATAGAGACTCTGTCAAAAAAAAAAAAAGGAAGAGAAACATGGAGAACATGGAGCGCCTGAGTGTCAAAACATCATGGGCAGTTGACTGTCAGGGAGGTTGCCAGAGAGCTCAGGGTTGGTTGGTGCATCCATCCTGCTTCCTGCTTCCTGCTCTGGCCTCCAAGCTCCCTGAACCTACTCTGTGCAAAGCACTGTGCCAGGTGTTGGCCCAGAGTGTGGGACTGGAGCAGTGGCCTGGGTAAGGGAGAAAAACTTTTTAACCAGCTGGAGACCTTTGTGGCTGGTGTCATTCTGGAGGTGAAGAGAAGGTGGCTGGAAAGAGCTACCCAGGGAGGATGATGGGAGAACCTGCAGCTCTGGGCCATCTCTGGACATGAACGTTTTGCATACACACAGGGCAGCTGTGTGTGTGTCTGAGTGGGGCCGGGAGGGGTCCTTCTCTCTCTCTTTTGCCCCCTGCAGCTGGGCTTCTGGAGCTTTCCTATGTCTTGCTTTAGTGCTAACCCTTGGAGGGTTGCCAGGGAAACCGCTGGCCAGCTCCGGGAGAGAGACGTAGCAGAGGGAGGAGACTGGGTGACTCAGGCTGGCTTCCCACACACCGCAACCCCCTCCCCAGTACATGGAAAGGATCTGGGAGACCCCCTTCCCTTGGATCCTAGAGGTGACCCTGCTTATTGTTTCTTCTCTGAAGAGAGCGGTCCCTCCCGCAGCTCTGACTAGTGGGAGCCTGCCAGATTTCCCCAGGAAAGGAACTGGCCCCAGGCACCCCGTCCCCCGTAGGTTCACCCTGGAACAGCGGACAGGTGCATTCAGCCTGGGCGAATGTGAACTCCTGCCGTGCCCATGCAGGCGGGGGAAGCCCCGGCTGAGATGCCCTCCTGGGGCAAACCCAGGATAATTATTGATTGGGACCGCTGTGGACTTCTGACCTTGGCCTGGGAGGGAGAGGACCCGGAACACAGGCCTGGGCTCCCAGGGAGGGAGGTGGGCGGGCCGCAGAGGGGGCCAATCAACACGACCACGACAGTGCGCCCTTGCCCTGCTAGTGGTGGTCGACCCAACCCAAACAAAGCAGCATGTGCTTGTGGCGCGGGGCCCGCTGGGGCGCCAAGCGGGGAAGACACCCCTACCTCCGCAGAAGGGGGGTGCGCGCGGCGCCGGCCCCGGCCCCGCCGAGCGCGCAGCCACCCCAGGTGCGCCGTGGGAGGTCGGGTCCCTGTGGGACCGCAGCAGAGCGGGCGCTAGGGGCCCAGGGCTGGTGAGCGCGCGCGAGGCGGAACCAGGAAGCGGAGCGCGCGCGGGACTGCCGGCGGCGCGCGTCTCCGGGCCTCCGCGTGCGAGCGGCGCGCGCGCCCCCGCGGGCCCCAACGGGAGGAGAGTCGGCGGCCGGAGCCGTCACCCCAGGCGGGGACAGCGCAGGCGACTCCTCGCGGCGGCCCGGCCGAGGGAGGGAGGGAGCGAGCGGGCGGGCGGGCGAGCCAGACAGCGGGGCCGGAGCAGCCGCGGACGCCCGAGGGGCCGAGCGAGGTAGGAGCTGCGGGCGAGCCCTGGGCCCGGGGTCGGGGGAGCCAGGCCGGGGAGCCAGCCCGGATGGGGCCCGCGCTCTAGTCGCCAGCCGCCCGGCAGTGCCGCGCCGCCGCCATCTCTCCCGGGCCGCGGTGGCTGCGCCCTGGGCGAGGGGCGCGCACGGGGAGAGGGGGTCCAGGAGGGCTGCCGGGGAGGCTGGGGGAGATGCGGGGCTCGCGAAGGGGGCGTGCGGATGCCGCGGCGCGGCGGGGGGCGTGCGCTTTCAAGGCTGTGTGCGCGTGTGCCCGAGTGGGTGTGTGAGGACCCCGCGCCGACCCCTAGGAGCTTAGGGGGCTACTGTCAGCCGCCTCACACCTTAACGTTGCAATTCCGAATAGCCCCAGCCGTCTCCTTGCTTTAACTTCTTTTTTTCAACAGAGGTGCCCGGACTCCCAGGGATAAGATGAACCTGCGGGGGTGCCTGGTGCAGTGGGGGGCATTAGCAAAGCTTCAAGAAACAGGGCCTTATAAGGAGTCAAGACAACAAATACGAACGTTTTGATATGACTCTGGGGGGCGGGATCCCTCATCAGGACCCGCCAGGCCTGGGCACACTGTGCGTGTGCCGGTGGGATGCAATGTGCTTTTTCTTTCTAGCCAGGGGTAAAGGGTTAAAAGTGCTCCTGGTGTCGGGGGTAGATATGGAGAGTCGAAGGGGAGTTGTTGTATCACAAAAGCTGGTCTGAGGCTAAAGGAATCTGGCATGATGGTCAGGGTGATCAAAGAGGAAAGAACTTGAGTGGAGCAAGAGGCGTTTGCAAACACTTGTAGCCAGCAGTGATGGAAAAGGCAAAGAAGAAAAACAAGTGCCAGCTTTTAGGAAGACGGGATTAATGAAAACCACAAGAATTTTAAAGGCTGAAAGAGATAGGGATTCTCTGTTTCCCAAAGAGCCAGGGTCAGTTCTTTTCTTCTTGGGCCCTGTGATCCCGCCATACCTTCTATTGTGCCAAAAGTGGGTCAAAGAATGTAAGAGCTGGAAAGGAACCCAGCGATGATGCCACATTCTTTTATTGTACAAATGAGGAAACTGAGGCCCAGATAGGTGGAGTAAGTGGCCTGCTCAGGTGACATGATTGTTGAATAGTCGATTCATGCTCTTCCCAAAGCACCAAGCAGTGTATAGTTCTCCATCTAGATGCAGTTCCATACATTTTCTCTGCAGTGCCCTCAGGGAATGCCTGAATGCCCTCAGGGAATGGCCTCTGAAAGGGCCAGCCTGACACCGAATATCATACTTAGGCTTATGTCATTTTTTTCAGTCTTCAAGTGGTGTTTATGGTCTGCTTGTAGCTTAGGTTTCCAGAGCTATTGGATAGCTGCCTGGGTCATAATAAGCTTTCAGCTGTTGGGTCTACATTGTTTCAAATAATTTTGTTATCGTTCAATTAAGATCATAGAATTTTTCGTCTTTCCCCAACATTCTGTTAGTGTCCATTTGCCTAGATTATATTGCGTTATATTAATTCCCTGTCAGTTCCTAGGTGAGGGTGTATTTTATTGAGTGTGCCTTTCATGTTTTAAAATTTCATTTTGTCACACTGTAAATATTGGATTGGTACTGATCATTTCAAATGGGGAGAATCTTATTGATTGATTTTATTTTAAGGCTTCGGCTGTTTGTTTATTCATTTGGGTACCAGTTTCTGTCTCATGGAAGATCACAGCTGTTAGAATGGACAGGGCTAAATGAGAGAAGGGGCTGCTGATTTTAAGAAAAACTTCCTATGTGGCAGTTTGTGATATCTGTTACATTTAATTAAAACAACACCACACCGTGGGTCAGGTAAGTGCATTATCTAGTAGGTGGCTTGTTTTATACTGTAGCCTCTGGAAGATGAAATTTTAAGCTCCGGGTTGAGACACAGGGAAGGAATGGAGAGATTTTTTTTTTTGGTAAAGCAAACCATCAGAAAAAAGAAAAAGTTGATTTCTATCACCAGCAGTTTAGTTATTGCACAACTTGGAGCTAAACTCTCTGCAAAATCTTTGCTGTATACCCAAGTAAATAAATTATCCCATCTTCTCGTTAGTTCTCACCTTTTCAGTACTTGTATTTTTTGCCAACAGGATATTAATATGGATTGTGTTAAGAAATTGAAGGTGGATATGTTTCTTAAGTGTGTACTTCATAATATGTATGATAGTAGGAGAAAAATGTGCTATCATGGTTTGGAGTGTTACAACATAAATATTTTGGTCAACACTTCCTATCCTGCTCTGACTTTTCATCTCATCTCCATTTTCTTCCTTTCAGTTGATTGTTTTTATGTCATTTACATATGTAAAAGCCACATCAAGCCTAAAGTTGCCATTTATTACCTTTTGATACTTAGGTCAAGTTTTTTCAAATCATAGTATTGTTAGTATTCAAATTACCGGTAATTTGTGTTAGGCTTATATATTATGAATCCATTTGTTGTGGTTTATTTGGCTTGTTGTTATGTACGTAGGTGACACAGGTCGTCTCATTGTAAAAAGAAAGATGTTTTAAGCAGGTAAATAACATGCTCAAGATTAGATACAGGTTGCAGGGGGAATCAAAGGAAGCCTAACTATTTTCCTGCCCTCCAAACATGCCTGTATCTCATAAAGTTACTCACAGATTTCTGGACATTCTATTTGTGACACATTTTTTCCCTTTGTATTAAGAGTGTAGATTACCACATTATTCCTACAAAAGGAAGCAGAATAACCCTAGTTTATATGATTTTTCTGATAATTTGAAACTTATTCTTTTAAAAAGCTATCTGGCAGTTCCAGGTTGCTGAACTCTTCAGAAGAATATCCTTTTATTGGTTTGCTACAATAAAGTATCAGACTACTTTAACTGTGGCACTTAACAAAAATAACGCTTAAAAGTTAGCTCTTCAAATGTGTGGTATTTAAAGGAAAAAAAGTTTTAATTCTGAGATTCGTGAATAGAACTCTTCTAAAATCATTTTTTCCCCCCTGCAATGTTGAAAACACCACAATTTTATACTTACTTCTGGGAATAAGAAAGTCAAATTTAACAATCTAGTTTCCATCAATCAGCCAGTTTTTGTACTTAAATTTAAGTTGTAAGCATCATAGTGATAAACATTTTTTAGAAATTGTGTTCACTCTTAATTATAATGGCCTTATTTGAAGTAAAATCTTTTTTTTTTTGTTTTTTTAAAGAAAAAGATGGAGTTTCACCATGATGCCCAGGCTGATCTTGAACTCCTGACCTCAGGTGATCCACCACCTCAGCCTCCCAAAGTGCTAGGATTAGAGGCGTGAGCCATCGAGCCCGGCCTGAAGTAAAATCTTGACATTGGATGTTTTGTTAATGATGATCCTCTGCTACTGGAAAGCTATGCTAGTTTGGAGAAGATTTTACACATCTAAATCCATACTGTTTAGAAGAGTCATTTACAGGTATTAGATTTTTAGTGGGTTGAATGAGACCCTCACTTTGAATGGTTTCAGAGTTTAAATGACGTTTTATTACTTTGTTAGTTTGGGTCACACCCATGACTTCCTTGGAAGGTATCTTTGAGGTTTGGTTTCCTTTTTTTTTTAAATGGTAATATTGGGGTGGGGGTGCTTCCTGTTTGTATTTTCAAAATTAGGTCCACATGTTAACCTTCTTGTAGTGTCACATTTTTATTTTAAACTTATAAAGACAAACATCAGATGCCATGTGGTTTGTCTGTGACCCGTGGCGCTACTCCATGACAGCTTTACTGAGTGAAGCCTGAATATCCAGCCTGGAAGGCAAGATGTTCTTGTCTTTCCCTAACTCTCTTCAAGGTTTAACAGCCTTGCAAGGAGTTTTAGAAGAGCAAGGAAAGTACAATTAACAGAAAAATGGAGGTGCTGCTCTCTTGTTTCCTCGCAGGTACTTGGAAAAGGTACAGCAGTAAGATAGAGTTGAAACGTTATGTAGAGCCTTGAATGTCGGTGCTTCAAAGAGGATTTGCCCTAGGTTTACGTGAGAAAGAATCCCATGTATTATATGAAGTAGGAATGGTAGCCATCTTTCTGGACTAGCCTAAAAGCCATACACAGTGTCATGGAAAAGAATTAAGAACGAGGAGAAATTTAGCAGAGCTCAAGAGGAATCACCTTCAGCCTTAAAACTCTTCCCTGACTCTCTCAGATAACTTTTAAGTGGTCGGTCACTTTTATTTATTATTATTATTATTATTATTTTTTAATTTAATTTTTTTTTTTTTTTGAGACAGAGTTTCACTCTTGTTACCCAAGCTGGAGTGCAATGGCGCGATCTCAGCTCACCGCAACCTCCGCCTCCTGGGTTCAGGCAATTCTCCTGCCTCAGCCTCCTGAGTAGCTGGGATTACAGGCACGTGCCACCATGCCCAGCTAATTTTTTGTATTTTTAGTAGAGACGGGGTTTCACCATGTTGGCCAGGATGATCTCGATCTCTTGACCTCGTGATCCACCCACCTCGGCCTCCCAAAGTGCTGGGATTACAGGCTTGAGCCACCGCGCCCGGCCACTTTTAATAAAAACTTTGGAAAATAGGTTAAATGGAGCCTCGAGAAATATGTATAGATTGTTTTGATGATTAAAGCAAATGTTCTTTTCCTTGCCTTTAACTTGCTTTATTCTAAGGAGTGTAATGACTAAATAGACTCCTAATTGAACAGACATTCAGATGTGTTTGCAGTTTAGGGGGAGTTTACCTCTTCTAACTTTTCATTTAGTAAATGACGTTACTAAGAGTAGTATTGCCTTAGCATGGTGCACAGTTTTGTACAATTCAATTTGCAAATGAAGTTAATGCTTGGAGTATCTTGACTTCCCGTTCCCCTAGTGCGCCAATATTCAAGAAACGAGAAGTTGAGAAGTTGTAATTTGTCACATATAGGATGTTTCCTTCTTTAGGTTTATTCATAATAACAATGTCCATTTTCACATGTATGATACCACTGAGATGATGAATACCTGTATTGATTGATAAAGAACATTT